TTACATCCATCTGCTCCAACTGCATATCTGAATGTGCTAATAGTGCCAACACTGTTCTGATGGAAGTGTGTCTAACCACGGGGGAGAAGATCTCATCATAGTCAACCCCTTTTCTCTGCGAGTAACCCTTTGCTACTAGACGAGCCTTGAATTTTTCTCCCTCCTTTTCTGATACTGCTTCTTTCTTCTTATACACCCATTTGCACCCTATTGCTCTCTTCCCCTCGGGAAGTTCCACCAACTCCCACGTCTGGTTCTTATGTAGAGACTCTATCTCCTCCACTATAGCACCCATCCATCTACTTTTCTCTTGGCTTTGTACTGCCTCCTGAAAAGTTGTAGCATCCCCGCTACTAGTAATAAGCGCATAAGAAACCAAATCTTCAAAACCATACCTGGTAGGCGGCTTGATATTGCGTTTGGGCCTGTCTGTGGCTATACTATGATGCTGCTGATCACCTGAGATAGAACGCTCTACATGCTGAGTATCCTCTTCTCTACCATGATTCTCTAGCTCCACCTGCACCACATGGTCATTAGTGCTACAGTTTTCTGGTACTTGTTTCTCTTCTTCCTGAGTACGCTGCAACATGGTTTTTTCATCAAAAACCACATCTCTACTGATCACCATCTTGTTTGCCTTCGAATCCCAGAGCTTGAAGTCTTTCACTCCTTTCTGATATCCCAGAAAGATACACTGTCTAGACTTCGCATCAAGTTTCGACCTCTCCTCACTAGAAACATGTACATAGGCTGGACATCCAAACACTCTCAAACCAGAGTAGTCTACCTCACTGCCTGTCCACACCTCTTTGATACTTTCCCATCTAGTGCTGCCCTCGGTGATCTGTTAATCAAGAAACATGTCATATTCACTGCCTCTGCCCAAAAATTCTTTGCAAGCCCTGCATTCAACCTGAGACACCGAGCTTTCTCGGCTATCGTTCTGTTCATCCTTTTCGCTACACCATTTTGTTGTGGTGTCTTGCAGACTGTGAAGTGTCTCTTGATCCCATGCTGCTCACACAACTCCTGGAACTTTGAATCTGTGTACTCAGTACCATTATCTGACCTGAGGCATTCAATCTTCCTCCCTGTCTGGTTCTCTACTTCAGCTTTCCACAGCTTGAACTTGGCAAACGCTTCTGACTTGTGCCGCATGAAGTACACCCAGACCTTTCGTGAGTAATCATCAATGAAACTCATGAAATACATGTATCCTCCCCGTGATACTACGCTAACTGGTCCCCAAACATCTGTATGGACATAGTCGAGAACCCCCTCTGTCTTGTGTGTGGCTGTCTTGAACTGCACCCTATTCTGTTTTCCAAGAACACAATATTTGCAAAAATTGAGCTTGCATGTCTTGACACCCTTCAATAGATTTTTCTTATGAAGCTCTATCATCCCACGCTCACTCATATGACCCAGCCGCATATGCCACAAGACTGTATTATCTGATTCAGACTCTACAGCAGCAACTCCACCTACAATTGTAGTACCCAGCAGTCTGTAAATGTTTCCTACTACTTTATGTCCCTTCATCACTGTCAACATGCCTTTACTCACTTTCATTACTCCACTTATAGATTTGTAACTATAACCATTACAATCCAAAGTGCCCAATGAAATCAAATTCTTCCTTAGATCCGGTACATGTCTAACATCACACAACGTTCTAACCATACCATCAAACATCTTAATTCTAATATTTCATATTCCAACAACTTTGCAAGATGTATCATTACCCATCAGAACAGAACCAGAATTTACTGACCTGTAGGTGTCAAACTAATCTTTGTTGGGTGTCATGTGATAGGAACATGCTGAATCCATAATCCAAGAATCTGTTAAACGATCTGAACTAGATAAAACAGAAAGCATATCACCGTCACCACTCTCTAAATCTTCTTCTTCCACTACGTTTGCAGACTTTGATGCACCCTCTTTGTCCTCTGAATCTCCTTTCTTTTTCTCTGGACAGTCTCGTTTAAAGTGCCCCTTTTTCCCGCACTTGTAACACGAGATGGAGACGTCCTTCTTCTTCTTCCTCGACTTGGACCGGATTTTATTGTTACCCGATCCATTCAAAGATTTACTTCTTCCACGTTCCTGGTTACCTTTCACCACAAGCCCTTCACCTTGTGAAGCCTCATTATTGGCTTTCTTCCGCTGATGAAAAACCTAACAGAGCACCTGTGACATCCTCCAACTCGAGGGTTTCTTTCCCCCACATCAGAGTCATAACCAAATTCTCGTACGTAGGAGACGCCGGTAGGGAATTCAGCAACATCAGCGCCTTGTCTTCGTCTTCGAACTTCACATCAACTCGCTTCAGATCGCTGATGATCTGATTGAACACGTTGATGTGTTGGGTCAAATCCGAGCCCTCTGACATCTTAAGACCATATAGTTTCTACTTAAGATAGAGCTTGTTCGTCAACGACTTGGACATATACCGACTTTCCAGTTTCAACCAAACTTTCGCCGGTGATTCCTCATCCATGACGTGATACATCACTTCATCAGCCAGACAAAGCCTAATAGTCGCCACAGCCTTCGCTTCCAATTCTTTCCAATCCATGTCGTCCATTCCTGCCGGTTGTTTTCCGTATAATGCCTTCACCATGCCCTGCTGCACTAACAGGTCCTTCACCCTCCTCTGCCATAATCCGAAATTCTCAGTTCCGTCGAACTTCATGATGTCGAATTTTGTAGAGGAAATCCCAGACATCGTAGTCTAGCTCTGATACTAGTTGTTGTGATCGTGCAACAATTATGGTGAATAGTAAGGAATCAAACAATTAAGAAAACAGGAGAAAATAACACACAGAGATTTACGTGGTTCGGCAATGTGCCTACATCCACGAGAGCGAGCGGCCGTTCTTTTTCATTATTCAAAGTAGGGTTACATCTTAAGTATTTATATAACCCTAATACGGACGTATTTACAAAAATACCCTTGTACCATACCGCGGGGGCGTTGCCCCTGCACCCCCAACTAATCAGCGTCCCCTTTATACAAATCCCGCAAGGCAGATGCCGTCGCAGGCTCCGCTTCGCTCCGACATCTGTCTCCTTGCCATTATGTACACAGCAAATATGAGCCACACATACTCTAACAGAATGTAACAGTGATACCATATTAAAAATGTTAATGTTGTATCACCAACCAATAATAAAAAAATCAAGTGAGTAACGTGAATCTCATTTAAATACTTATTTTTTTTCAGTTTCAAAGAGAGCTAGAACCCAAAAACTAGCTAACAATCAACTTATAAAAACAAACACCATACGCATCTGAATCAATTAGGGAAAGGATCCCTATAGGAGGCATCTGGAAAACAGTGTTCCCCAAAGCCAACTGATGAGCCAGATTGGCTAACTAGTCTGCACAAGCGTTTGCTTCCCGATAAACATGCTGAATCTGATCATGCCACTCACGCCGTAACAGTGCTCGAACCTGTAAGACCAAAGAACGATGATCATTTCCCCTTTCTCGCGCAAAATAACAATGACTGTGATCATTTAAATACTTATTTGCTTACATTGAAGAAGAGTGAGTGGTTAGTTGTTTACGTGGAGAGTTTGTTATTAATTTTAGTGGGGTCCATTTATTTATTTGTTTTGGATATTATTGGTTGGTGATATCATGTTAGTATTGTCACATAGTATCATTGTTGTAATAAATATTTTCTCAAAATGAGTAAAATCAGACGACCACTGCATTTTTCGAAATGAGAGAGGGAGTATGAAAAGGGATGTTATCAACATGTGTGAGTTGTGCTGAATGAAGTAAGCAGCGGCTGCGCTGTGTGTATGTATGCGTGAATATGGAATGGAAGGAGTGAATGAATTAAGGTAGGCATAATTTGGGGGAACAAATGTGTTTGATTTGGCGGAAGATTTGCCTATGAATTTAGGCATGAATATGGAAGTAGAAAGAGAGAGAGAGGATTTAGTTGTGAATGGGAAGAGAATTAATTTGACTATAAATGGAAGGTGCCTTGGGCAGAAAAAAAAATTGTCAATCAATCTAATCCGTCAATCAATATTTTTGAGTTGATGTGAAAATTTCAAAATAACATAGACCTTTAGATAGAACTTATCTTTTGCTCATAATTGATCTAAACCACTTAGTTCTATTTTATTATTTAGCTTTTTTACTAATGCAATGATTTATCATTGACAAAAAATATAAATATTTATATTGTAGCCATGGTATCTTCATTGGCTACTTGATAGCTATGAATGTAGTAAATTAGATCTAAAGATAATTTTGTGGCACAGAAATAACTGTATATGGAGTGGTTGACATCACCTGTATAATGGTGGAGATAGGGGCAACGATGGTGGTAGTGGTGGTGGAGGAAGAGGTGACAGTGGTTGTAGTGGCAGTGGTGAGGTTGGTGGCATGGTAGTGGAGGTGAGTGGCGTCAGCGATTGTAAGGTGGGAGGTGGTTTAAGGTTAATACTAAAGTAAGTTCCACCCATTGACCGCCCATATCTGCATTAAGACATTAATAAATGTTCGTGTCACTACCCAACACATTTACGACTTACATAAATAAAGTAATCAACCTGCTAATTTATGAACAGGTTGGGCGAATGGGTGAATTACGGATTAGATTTTCCATCTTTTATCAAACCCATGAGTAGAATGTCATTGAATGAAATTTACAATTTAGTAACTATGAGAAGGTGAAAAGGTTGAAATTACATTACCACCCAAAAAATCCAAATCACACAAACAATTAGAAATGGAGAAACGGATGCTTGACGGGTCTCCTACATTGTCCTCTACATATAGGATGGGACATTGGTGATGCAGGTCATGGCCCTTTCATCAATGGCACATTGGCACAAAACAATCACTGACATATGGAGCAAATACAGCAGTTACTCCCCTGATGCTTCCTTGTATATAAAAATTAGCAATTGGCAATAACAAGAGATGAAAAATCATGGTGTCGTGGCTAGAATCCTAATCAATTGCACCTCTACATGGCAGCGACGCTTGTAGGGATGAAGCCAGTAGGGGATACAAGTGCACCAACAGGAATATCATTAGGAGTGACAGCTATAGCTCCTTCCTCCACTATCTGACCAGAATACGCAAGTGCAACTGCAACAAAATAGCAGCCACCACTTTGTGAAGTGAGAAAAACCAGATTAAGATTTAGTAAACCTTAGTAAATCCACATTCAATTTGGAAGAGTAGAAGGTTGGGTAATTACCTAGAAGGGGCTCTTTCCAGTTCCTGTCCTTAACGAGCTCTCTGTAATTCTTCAGGAACATGTCATAGTAACTTATAAGATTTACCCAGTATCGAATTTCAAATATTGCATGATGTAAAAAGAATCAATGTCACATACAAAACACAACATTAACGTATTTTCCAACTTGATGAATCTAATTTCTAAGTTTGCTGCGTAGTTACATGAACAGATATAGCCTATAAGGTAGCACCATGAATTTTTGACCCATCAATCAGGGCACCTTGGTACATCGTCATACTGGTGAAATGATGATATGTTAGCCTTCAAATTGCAGTATAGTAAAAGCCTAGTGAATGTACCCACTTCATTTCTTATCAGAAAAAAGAATGTTACTTACCATAAAAAATAAAGTCCTTGAGTTTCAAACGTTTTCCTGCTAATGAATTCAATTAATCCACAAATAAGAAGTTACATACAGAAAATTTAAATAAACAGAGAGTACTTTAGTGTTGCTTTTATTATAATGTCACTAATTGGCAAGTTAATTCCTACCTGGTTTAACTAATTGGCATTAGCCACATTGCTGCTTTTGCCCAAGCCTAAAACTGGAAGACCCTATTCTATTATTTTAAAGTCCATCCACAGTCATACATCAGACATATTCGATCAACCTCCCCAGTGGAAATAATCCATCGCATTTCTTTAAGCAATGAAATTCTTTCACGTCACAGACATCCAACTATAAAATTCCACATCAGTTGTCATTTAAGCCATCCATTTTTACTCCTGAAGTAAGCTTAAGCTCTCACTTTACTAAGTTCTCCCAAGTTATAACACTGGAATACAAATGCAACTTCAAAGATACTCCCAAGTTTATTCACGACATGGATGGCAACATTTAACAGACTAGTAAAACGTAAATGAATGTGTCATTTTTATTTTTTTTTTTGGTGGGAGAAGTAGAAAACAAGGAGTTTTGAGCCCATGACATCAAGGTTGAGAAACCTGCCGTAATGTGTAATGCCTGTTTATCTTCATTAGGCATTGCTATGTGAATTTGGTTTGTAGGTGACCTAATTCACCTCATGAGAAAACAAGGTGACTGATAAAGCTGGAGGATGTCACACAGCAACATTCACTTAAATGTAATTATGTCTGCAGAAAGTATGTTTTCTCTTTCCAAATTTCTACAGAAAACAGAAATAAGCTTGTGAAATAGTGACCCTAGCAGAAATGATTAATCCGATTTTAAAATGACCATGCACTGTCAATAATGGGGTATTGATCATCCAAATGAGACAACTTTCAATACCAGACTAGTTGCTACTTGTTACGAACATTGCGACTTTTATTCTTCAAGTCTCTTAGTCTTCTAATAGTAATTAGTTAATAAACAAATGAAAACACTAGCAAGCATCATAAATATTGTTGTAGTGCCATGACCAAAAAAAGAAATTGTAAGTGTTTGAGCAGAGGATGTACACTCCACCACGTCCCAACCTTTTGCCAGATTTGTCAAACGCAAGCCCTAGCAGCATATAGACAAAATAATATAACAAAAAATTAGTTTTTTGACAAGGGTCCTGCAAGACAAAGTTAACAGAGTGAAGAAAATCACCAGGTAGAATGAACAAGTCCACCGGCTCACATGCTTGCATAACTGCACCAAAGAGATTCTTTAGATTGACAATATCTGAATTCTGAAACGAACTGAAACCAAGGATCAAAATTTCGTTTCGAAACATCCGAAACGTTTTTGTTTCCAAGGAGACCGAAAAGAATTCTAATATTTTGAGACATTCCATATGATTTCAAAATGTTTTGTAAAATTTCAATGCATTTGCACAATTGTTTCGGAATATTTCAAGGTATTTCAAGATATTTTGATATATTTCAACAAATGTTTTAAAAGACAATTCTTAAATTTTTTATATCTTTCATTATATTTTCGAAACTGATCAAAACGTTTCTGAAACATATCGAAACGTTTCCGTTTCCTAGGTGACCGAAACAATATACCGAAACAAAATTTTGATCCTTGACTGAAACAGAAAATTTGCACAAGGCCGGAAGGCAAAATCAATTATAATAAGATGGAGGCCATCATCTAGACGACAATAATTGGTTAAAATGGCAATATACAGAGCACAACTGTATACAACTATAACAAAACATCATGACATTCAAAAGAACACAAAAACTCTAAATATTGGCTTTTGATATCCGTTCTTGACAAATCCTCTTTTGGTCCTGCGGTTATGTTGCATTGGCTAAAATTTTTCAATGCCAATGACTGAAATAGTAAGGAGTGTCAATCCTCCAATTTGAGTGCTGAGGTGATTAGAGAAATCATAGCCACTGATAATTGGCCTAAGATTCAACAAACAATACAACAGTATAAAACAAGAAACTGTGAATCAAAATCGTGTGCCAACATAAAATACTTGAGATAAGGTTTTAGTGAGTCTGATATGTTAATGGTTGCACATCTCTTCAGAATTCCTAAAATGTTACCCCTCTAATCTTGGGTTGCTTGGTAAGCTGTGATTATCACCCCGAGCAATAGGATATGTTCGCCAATAATCCACATGTCCTATTCTAGCAGTGCATTTGGGCGCATCAGCATAATTGCAGGAAAAAGATACCAAACAACAAAATTTCCTACTAGTACATTACCGTCTTCACGTTCATTCAAATCACAAGCTACTGGGGCTGGCTTCAAAATGTTCATTGAGCTTGCAACGAGATCATCTACACTAGATATCTTGAGCATTCTCATGTTGCTAAATCTGTCCTCAACACGTGGAACATATACATTTTTCCTGCTCCGTGCATGACCCTCTTGAGTTGAAATTGAAGTGTGAGAATCTCTAAATGTGTAATGACAGATTGTCTTAAATTCATATAGCATTTCAATAGCTAATTATATAAGGTGAAACACAAAACTCACCTCCGCCTGGGTCGCCTAGAACTTCTGACAGAATTTTTGAAGTATCGACTTTTCGTAAAGCAGCAGAGCTAATATAAGAGCACAAGTTCTTACTAGTCTTGAGCCATGGAGTTTCCAAAATAATTCTTTGTATTGCATTATCTGCAAAGAACACATAGAAACTGTGAAAGTTAGGATCTGTCTTATTAGAGAAAAGAGAATATGTCAGAGGCAGAATACAGACAAGATGTTGAGTGGAAGCTGCCCAAGTTATATCGATTTTGAACTTATTGAACGAGATTTGGCGACTATGTGAGACATATTCACAAGCCAACCGACTTCAGTCCAGTACCTAAGGTCGAACTCTTCCTTAGTGCCAAAGTCAAGCTGCTTGTACAAAGTGGGTAACAAAGTTCAAGAAGCTCCAATCTTGACAAAATTGTAAGGCAACCTCTTAAGAATGACCGCTTGTTTGACTAGCTCTCTCAAAGCAAACAAAGGAACCAAATTTAGTATAGCTAAAGACAGTGGAGCATTAACTCACTTGTGCCTAGACAACAAAATCTAGACTTGACCACCAATTTCTGCCCAACCAAAATATCAGATCATACTGAGTTTACGACATATCGCTTGTGACTGTGGTACTTTGTTCTCCTTCAGAAACAAATCTTCATGCTTAGGTCCTCCTAGGTATGTCCCAACGGTTCTCCAAATTATTCTCATGAAGTGTAATATAAGACTAGACCATTCAATCTCCATAACAATCAACAGTTATATATAGGTATCCCAATTGTAAAAACCATCAGAAAAAAACAACCAGAATTTTTCTTTAATAGCATTCAAAATGAGTGCATTTGTAATTTTTGGTGCTTAAAGTGAATCTAATTGTCTTCCTTACCTCAATTATGTGGTCAACAAGCTCAAAAAACTTACATAAAAAAAATTAATAAATTCAAATATACCAATATGGTGCCTCTGGCAGTGCATATGATATACATAACAAAGAAAGCGCGTCTCCAAATCCTGCTGACAAAAGTTGTAAGAAAACCAACTTCCATTTAGTGTTAAAGTGGATGTACCATCGTGTCTAACATTGATTCGGAAATTATGCAATCCTTTTTATGCATATATAGCTAATGGTACAGCACATCAGCCTCATTTACTACCCCCTATCAACAATACATCGCCATTGTATACCAAACTAACAAAATTTATACTTTCACTCAGACCAACAAACAAACACCTACAAGTCATGTACACAAATGCACATACATATACAAATGAAAATATGCAAGGAGAGAGAGAGAGAGAGAGACCCTTCTTGAGATTTTTGTAATGGGCTCATGTTCGCAAGCTCTTTGAAAATTTTGGATCGGAGAGCCCTCTTTTTTCTGGAAAATTTCTTCCAACTGATTAGGATTGTCACCGTCGTTCATGGTGACGACGTTGCGGTGAGGGGTGCGTACGATAGCGGAACACAGTGAAGTGAGGAATGGAGAAGCCGTGGCCGATGCCCGCTTGGTCGATAGAGTCATCCCCACCCCCCTCCCTCTCATCTTTGCCCACCAAAACTAACAATAAACCAAAATTCAACAAATTATATTCAAAATTAAAAAAAAAACAAATTATATTCAAACTTATTTACAAAAAAATAGAAATTAAATTTAAGATACCCCTGGGTGGTCTAGTGGGTACGGGCAGAACTTCCCTCCCAAGTTGAAATCTTTGAGTCAAAGATTAGTTGGTTGGTCATTACGTTCAATTAGTCAAATTCGTTTACGAGAGGAGTAATGATCTTGTGATCCTACTAATGAGAGCCTATTGAAATGGTCTTTCGAAACTTTTCTTTGCCCTCATTCATTTTTTGCACAAAAAAAGATACCCTATTCTTGCTCAAATAATATTATTCTAATATGAGATAGTTCAAGTGATAATAAGAATGAGTTGTAAACTAAGATATCCTGAACTCGAATTTTGACAATTCCTTGGAGTTATATCACGAAGAATTTTTTTATAAATACTCTAATCTCAACGTAGATAATCTGCTTTTAATTGAACTGAATAAAAAATTAATTGAAATGTGTGTAAACTAATTCAAACACTCCAAACCATTAAACCAAAAATAAAATATTACTATTCCACTTAAAAATCTAACTCCTCTAATTATCTGAGTCAATGGTATGACATCTGATATGGTATAGCTCCCACCACGATCAAATGTCTGCGACATTGTCTCGATCTGTAGAAGAGTTTGTTTTTATAAATTGAATCATGCTTAAATTACAATAGAATAATCTTAACATACACCACTACATAAACTCATGATAGGTGAAATGGCCTCATTTAAAAAAAAATCTAATAACTATGATTAAAATGATTTTATTAGATTTTTTGTTTCTGTTTTTGGATTCTAATAATATAGCTCTCGCTTGAATATTCTTTTTGGGTCCGATTCATCAAGTCAATTTACTTCTCGGAGTGTGATTTCATGGGGGCTAAGCTGGGCTCTCGGCCTTCTTGGGTCTGGCGAAGTCTTTTGCAGGGATGTGGCTTCCTTGAAAATGGGCTGTTGTGGCAGGTGATGAAGGGGAACGGGATTAGAATTTGGGAGGACAAGTGGGTTTCATTGTTACCTAATGGTGTTATTTCTTTCCCAAGACCCCACTCGTGCAATCTCCATCTTGTCAGCGATCTCATAGCCCGGCCTTCCCATATGTGGGACACAGAGCTCCTAAAAGATAATTTTAATTCTGAGGAGTGTAAGGCTATCATGTCCATCCCACTCTCAAAGACTATTGGGGCGGATAAAAGGATTTGACAACCATGTTCCTAAGGTGTCTACATTGTTAAATCAGGTTACTCTTTGGCACTTGGTATCCATTTTCCAAGTGCTTCAAAACCTGGGCTCTCCTTCTCTCCCCACCGAGGATATGGCATGTCATTTGACATATGAAGACCCTCCCTAAAATACGGCATTTTTGGTGGAAAGTGTGCAGCAATGTCTTGGCCTCCCATGAAAATTTGTTCCGCCGAAATTGTGTCAGTTCCCCTTGGTGTCAGATTTGTACAGACAATGTTGAATCCACTGAACATGCTTTATTTGGTTGTGCTTGGACAAAAAAGGTATGGTTTGGCTCGGATTTTGGTTTTCGTTTTGATGAGAATTCTTTTTCTTCTGCTATGCACTGGATCTCTACTGTCTTGGAGGCTATCAGGGATGTTTCCCGTTCTCTGGAGGTTATGGGGAATATAGCTACACTTGCTTGGGCGATTTAGAAAGGGAGGAATCAGGCGATCTTTAATCATGAGGCGCCTAATGCTTTTGCCAGTCTACTCAATGCAAGGAATTTTTGGAGTGAAATTCATGCAGTGTCATCGAAAGGTGTCGTTTTCCCAGCTGCCAAGCCTGAGCTTGTGATCCCCGCATATGGCCGGTGTCAGGATGTAAATATCAGTTGTGATGGTGCTTTTAAAAAGGGCAAATCGGCTATTGGTGTTGTTGTAAGGGACTTCAATGATTGTCTTGTGGATGGGTGTGGTAAAAAAGTTATGGCATCCTTAACCCTCCAAGCATAAGTTATTGCAGTGCGCGAAGCTTACCTGTTAGCGAGTGCTTCACAGTTAAAGTTTGCTTGTGTTGAGAGTGACTGCCCGAAGGTTATTAAACTGTCCTCCAATGAAGATGACCCCTCATGGGAAATCAGTCCTTTGGCAGACATCATATTTCTTGCTTCTCATCTTAACCTTAGTTTTCATCGCAAGCCAAGGGCCCAAAATAGAGCTGCTCATTGAGTGGCAGCGGCAATGATGACTTCGCTCAGTGTGAATTAGGTCAGTTGTCCTCCTCACGAGTTAATGATTTTTCTTTCTAGTGACTCTAACCACCATTTTCCTGCTTGAATGAACCTTCACTTACTTTTGATAAAAAAAAAAAAAAAAACTGCAACACTTTGAAAATGCATATATGTTTAGAGAATATACCAAATATTAGAGGTGGTAAATGAGCGGGTTAGATTGGGTATGACTTAGTTTAAGATGTGTTTGGTGCAAAATAAATTCAATCATTTTTCAACTCACTTAATAAACGAGTTATAATGGATTGACTCATAACAAATTAGGTTGAACCCTCTGTAAAATAATTAAAACTCTTATTATAAACACATACTAATATACCAAAAATACAAACACAAAGAGTCAAGCCCGGGTTATGTGTATTAGTGTGTGTGTGCTTTTGATGTACTAGTGTGTGTTTGTGTTTTGGTGTATTAGTGTACTAGGAGTAACCCGTGCCTAAAGGTACGATACAACATAAATCAACTGGCTAATGTGGAAAAAAAATTACTTTAATTATAGATTTTTGAGATGGATGTTAGTGACCATTAGATGAGTCTATTTGAAACTGACAAATAAACTTATTGAAACCTATCATGACTCATATTATAGATGTGTGTATATTTTCTGGTATGTTAATATATTTATTTAATTTTATTACTTATCTTATTTAATAGAAAGATAATTACTTTATCCAATGGGTATCTATTTGAAATTTATCTTAACCTGTTTAATTAAAATAAATCTTATCACCTAACTCATTTAGAATTGATATTAATTAATAAAATTAATTATAAATTCCACTCTGAAAGATCTCTCGAACCTCAATTTGTACCCTTAAAGACAAAAAATCTCAATTTACACCCCTAAAGATAAAATTTTGTATCAATGTGCACCTGAAGTTAACAATAGTTAATTTGCCGTCTAAAACTAAGTGGGTAAACTACACCTAGATCCCCTCACGTTTGTCACTTAATCACTATTTCCCTCATATTTAAAATATTACGCCTAAATCCCCTAACGTTTGTGCACATGTAACACATAACGCTCTATTGTCATTAATGTAACAATTAAAAATATGATGTCATCCTAATAAAAAAATATAATTTTCATATACCCTTAATTTTGTGGTCTGTTGTATTTTAAAGTTCAAAATCAAGCTTACCTTTTGAATGTTTAATATATTGAAGGTATTATATAATGTTTAAAAGTATTTGTATTATATAATGTTCTTTATATTCAATACAATACATCAGTTGAATATAATTATTTTGATGTCCAATTAGAACACTTTTATTCATATTTGAATTTTTAGGGAGTGTAGTGTAATATTTCAAATGTGAGGGGTCTAAGTAATTAAGTGACAAATATGAAGGGGTTTATGTGTAATTTACCTATTTAGTTTTAAACGGCAAACTGGATGACTGTTAGCTTCAGGTGCACATTGATACATATTTATATGTTTAAGGGCGTAAATTAAAATTTTGATCTTTGAAGATACGAATTGAGATTCGAACAATTTTTAAGGGTGTAATTTATGATTAATCTTTGTTCCAGGAACCTCTTTCAGCCTTACTGGATCGCTCTTCCGCTCCCCCAGGGTCTCCCGTTGCCGTTCCAGGTCACCACCGGACCTCGCAGGCTGTTCCAAGCAGCATGGTTGGTTACTCAACTGGCTCACTCGAGTTCACCAAGGGAGAGATCTGTTCTCGTTTTTTATATTGTGCAGGATCTTGCACGCACAATCTGGCGCCGTCTGTGGGAAACGACTAGTTTTCCTAGTTTTTTCTCTATAAAGAACAGTGACCATGGTGAACACTCGACAGAAAGGGAAAGGACCCCACCAAAGGAGTCTCGAGTTACAAGCTCCCTGTCATCACGGAGGAAGGGATCACACCGATATGAATAAAAGTGCCTCTACTCGATCAAGAGGGGTTATCCCTCAAACCAGTATGGGAATCAGGTCAGGGGGATCAGCCCCCTTGGCTCGTCAGCTGGCGGAGGTGATTGAAGAAAAGTTCAGCAATAGATTACGAAAGCTGGAAAAGGACAATGTAAACGTCCTAAGCTGGCTCAATGAGTTTGCCGCCTCTGGCGAAGGATCGAGGGATTCATTCCTTTCTCGTGGGCTTCCCGCCCGGGAGGCGGAAACGAAGGATCTAAAAAACCACCTAAACAACAAAGCAGAAAACTCTAGGGCCCCAAAGCGACCCAGAGCCGGCGAGCATCATCATGACAACCATTCAAGGAAAGCAAGGTCATTGGCCCTGGACGACCTCCGGCGAGGTTTGTCTAGACGGTGGAAGGGAGATGAGTCCGAGGAGGATTCAACCCAATCCACACGACGCCCAGGAAATGAGGGGCTTATCGATGAACTCAAGGATTTCAGAAGGCATCCCGTCAGGGAAGAAATTGATCTCAGAGCCCGGTTAGACTCCAAGAGAAAGGGTAAGGCTGTCCAGGATGAGACCGAGGACGAAGTCATACAAACACCCTTTACGAGGGAGATCGGTGAGATGGAGGTTTCAAGAAAGTTTGTCGTGTCGCGGTTCAAAACTTATGACGGGCGGTCCGATCCCGAAGCCCATGTCAGACAATACAAGCAGATGATGTCCCTCTATCATACGGACAAACGGTTTCTCTGCCGAGTGTTTCCTATGAGCTTGGGGGACTCTACGATGAAGTGGTTCGAGGCGCTTCCCCC